AACGGCCGAAACGTTGTGATAGATATGGCGAAAAAGACGAGGCCAATAGTCCGAATATTGTAAGTAATGTAAAAAAAAAGTTATTACAGGTATTTTTACTTTAAAAATATATTTTTATGCTTTAATAGTGTGTTGAACCTAGTTTGGGAATTAACCAATTTCCCATAGTTTTTACCCTAACGGGTGCCACTACCACTGGTCAGGTTGAACATGGGAATAACGGCAATTAAGAGGTGGTTCCACTCTCCTTAAAACCTTCAAATTATCGATCAGAGGCCTTGCTGGCGGATGTAGTTTATTGTCATACCCGGACTACCACATCTTGGAGACAACATCCAACTAAATCACAGCTCTATGGACCCATCCCTGATATTTCTACCATTTTACCAATTTAGAATGCAAGAAAAACAAGAACTCGCGAGTGATCTACTGTTCTGGATACTATCCATGGAACAAAACAGTTTGGTCGCCCGGCAACCACTTGCAATGTTATGACAGAGAATGCCACACCTTCCGATCTTGACAGACTCATGGATATCCAAGCTACGTCGACCGAATAAAAATAAATATTTTCTGACTGTTCCTCAACAATTATGACTCCTGCAACCCAAAAAGCGCGTAGGGGCACCATACGCATCACAGTTGTATTAGCAGTGACGTAGCCCAATTCTATTCAGCATTGTTTGAATTCAGTGTTTTCTTTTCCCCTAGACAAGTCGTCAATCAAGACTATAGTACCTAGTTTGTTCTGTTATTTATCCATAGCTGAGGAAAAAGATGGATTCATACATTTTTCCCAAACGTATGTTCGCATATAAACATAACGAACCTGACTGGAATAGGAACTCAGCTGCCTGATATGATGGTCTATAATATAAAGGAATGGCAACCGACAACAGTGACTGATTGGTAACAGAATCTGCAGGATTAATGACAGGAAATCCTGATGTTGTCATTCCGTTATCGAGTGGTTCCCAAAATATATTTTCCTGGGCCGCATTAAAAATGTACATGCGTCTCACCAAAAGGAAGTCCCGGTAAAAGAAGCGAAGCAGGCCTACGTCGAAGAACGTCTAAAGAGAGGTTTATAGGGAGAAAACGCCGGATTCGAAGACAGAACATTATCATTGATAACTCTCTTCTCCAATTTGCGGACGCTATCTACCATATTCTTAAAACTTGATATAATGCAAAAATATCACAATGATAGAATCGCCCAATAAAAATATATATAGCTATTTATACTGGGACTTATGCATACGATTATAAGTGATCCATAATATATTTTAAATCTTGAAATCAAGTTTATATTTGGGTATATGTATTTTTTAAAACTGTTTTAAATATTTGATTGTCTTTCAATCATTCCGCCTCACCTGCTATCCTCTTCCGCCGCAGCTATGCGACGCACCGCGCCGTTTAGGGGTCACTGCGTTATTCATTACATAACATGCACACCCAAGCTTATAACATCTGGTATCCCCAAGCAGTCACCCATCTTGGTATCTATCAGGATCGACGTTGCTTAACTTGTTTCAACATGATATGACCCTAAGTCCCTATGAATACAACCTTCTCCTCTATTGATCGAAAAAAAAAATAATATTAAATCAACAGATCATAACACTTTAAAAGTGTTGTATACTTTTAGACGCCGGACCCCATTAACTCCAGCGCTAATGGGGTAGTTTTTGAAGCGTTTGAATCGATTTTGGATTGGCTGTCTACCCGGAACTGTTCCAAGTTATATCAATATTAATTAAGCTTAAAACAGTCATTTGTTTTATTTTTTTCTGTAATCAATCACTTGGATATGATAGCAAAGAAATAGAAAGAAAATCACCAGAGCATTTCTATTTTAATACCTATACACTGATAGCAAATAACATTGCAACAGTCGTACGTACGATTCCGGATTTGACTTGTTTACGGTACGTACATATTAAGGTGTAAGATATTCTTATAAATTTTTTAATGTTTACAGCCATCTTTTGCTAATACCAGTTCATAGTCACTAACTCATTTTTTTTTATTTTGTAGTATTGTTGCCGTAGCAACGAAATAAACAATACGAGACTTATAAATTATTATTTATTCATGTCCGAACTTCATTTAATATCCACGTGTATATACTTAACCTGAGTATTTGAGTAACTCTTTGTCTTTTCCAATCTCTAATGGATTGTTTATATAACTGCATGTCATCCGGTTGTATCAGGTGAGCACATTCTAAGATTAGCTTAGGCAACTACCTGTCTAACATGTACAGAGTGACATCATGTGAAAGGCGAATCTGATGCGCCTGGCTCCACTGATACTCTGGCGTGATAAAGTCTATTTTGGTATCTATAAATACCTATTGGGGTCACCAAAAATTCTCTCATATCAAAGATTCTTTATTGATAGTAAATTCTGTTCAGACACTCTCATATTATATTCATCATATAAATACAGGTTGTATAAAAAAATTACAAATTTTGGAGGCAGTTTCCTCACAGCAAGACAAGGACAAAAGTTCATATAAACGTCTGTTCGCAAATCCTTAAAGAAATTTTACGATAGCGCTTTTTCTTGTCATATAGACGAGGTTACATTTGTCATTCGTGTAGATTTATGGCGAATCACTTCAACGTTTAACGTGTGTAGTAGTGAGTTAACTGAGACGTATTCCGTTTAACAATATCAGGATATTCATATCGTTAGCAACAGATACGATTTTTACATAAGGTGAAAGTATTAATAGACGCGCGGCTGCACGGCTGTATCAAACTGTGTTTCCAGATCGAAGCAGCCGTGTCAGACAAACTTTGCTGCTGTTTATCGTCGCGTTGCTGAGACAGGATCTGTGGCAGCACAAGCTGTGGATCGAGGAAGATCAAGAAAGACGAGTGTATGCATGTTTAGAAGCAAGCGAGGGAAAGTTTGAGCATTTGCTATGAGTTGCTGTTTTGAGGTACAATGGCGGCCTTTTGGAGGTACGTTTATATGGACATTTTACCTTGTTTCGGTGTCAGGATCCCACACCTAAAGTTTGTAAACTTACTTTTAGATTGTATCTTGTATCGTAAACAGCGTCTATCGTAAACATTAAACTTTATAACTAATAAAAGAAGGATTGTCAGACATGTATTTATATGGATATTTGTCCTTGTTTTGATATGAGGAAACTGACCCCAAAATTTGTAAATGTGATACATCCTATATATGTTTATTTTACAGTTATCAACGTCACTTGATTAATTCCTAGTTTATTGCAAAACACTGAATTGCATATCATAGCGCATCATCTGAAAAATAAATTAATCAAAGCATAAATTACCAATTTTTATTTAAAAGATGCCTTTCCGCAGCTAAGCAACATGCAAAGAGATAGGATAATCTTATTAGATAGAAAACGAAGTGTTATAAATAAAATATTTCAAATAGTCTTGTTCACACTGCTACTTGGCCTTTTGAGAATAAGTTTGTCCCTTATTTCCTGTTTAGGAATGGGTTTCCGGTTCCTTCTAAAGTTTTCTCATTCTCTTTCACCCCCAGTAGCCTATTGCGTATTAGTAGCATTGTCGATTTGCTTGGGGTTAATTGATTAAAAATAAATAAATATTTCATAAATTTATTTTATTTAAAGATTTTCATCACTTCAATAGAGACGTTGTTTTCCATTTGATCGTAGAAAACAATTATGAAAATTACTACATTTTATCTTTGTCTACTGGAAGGACGAATGCATAATTTTGGAGCAACAGTTAATAGTTTCAAACTGCAACTTTATAGTGATTTTCCACGGTTAGGATCGAACTCACTACTCATTCATAATTGTTTTAGCGAGACAAGCTTGCTAACCATTACACCACCTCGAGCTGCGCAAGTATAGTGATTTTCCAAGCGTATCTTAGATTTGGCACTAGGCCGAAAGTATAGGGCACCCAGTGAGGTTTGAACTCACTACACAGTTGTCAATGTTTTAGTAAGAAAACCTTGCTAACCATTACACTTGAGGTGCCTCGATTGCCTCGAGGTGCCCAGTGATTTTCAAAGCGCAGATTAGATGTGGCACAAATCGAAAAGTAAGGAGCACCCAGTGAGGATCGGTATATAAGGTTGCAGTTAGGCACCTCGATGCGGTGTAATGGTTAGCAAGCTTGTCTCGCTAGAACAATTACGTCTGACTAGTGAGTTCGATCCTCACTGGGTGCCCATTACTTTCGGCCTTGTGCCACATCTAAGCTACGCTTGAAAAATCATTATATGGGCACTTCGAGGCGGTGTAATGGTTAGCAAGCTTGTCTCGCTAGAACAATTACAACTGAGTCGTGAGTTCGATCCTCACGGGGTGCCCCATACTTTCGGCCTTGTGCCACATCTAAGCTACGCTTGGAAAATCACTATATCCATTACACCACAACGCACGTCTCTTTCAATAGAGTTTCCAAATAATCTTCATCCAGACGTCTCATCGTTGACCATTCCTTCTATTATAGTGGTTGCATTTTGATATACAGGTGGTCCGAAAAAGTAATGAGAACAATAGAAAAACAAGTAATAAATATAAATCCGCAATCGAAAGTTTTATTAAAGAGAATGTTATTAAAGGGAATGTGTCCCTCGACAGGAATCGAACCTGCATTAGACTTTATTCCGGAAAGCCACCTTTACTCTAGAAGTGCTTAACCGATAAGTCTAGAGGGTGGCCCGAAAATCTTGTCACTCACAATCAAACAGTAATGAGAACTATAGAAGAACAAGTAATAGAGTAATACAAAGCATATGGACTGGATTCAGTTTATTCACTTTCATTGACGTTGTCACACACCGAGAAGGTCTGTATGAACAACATCATTTTCAGGCCACAAAATGATGTGGTGCCATATCCTGAGTGATATTTTACGAAGTTGTGCTTTGTTGATTGTTGCAAAGTCTCTCCGAACGGCGTCCTTCAATTGATGGCTATTCTGACATCGTTCATGCGAAATTCTCTCCTTACTCTTGCCAGAAGGCACATGGCCATGTGTTTACACACTTGCAAGCAGCCTCTCTTCCAAGCTGCAAGAATTCGTGTCAGCTATCTGAAATGGAAAGTTATATTATGTATGGGTGACAAAACTTTCGGACCACCCTGCGACACTTATGAAATGGTAGGTAGATGTAAACAGTGGTTAAACAGAGAGACAAGCAACGACAGAGAGAAATAGACAGACAGAGATAGACACACAGAGAGAGAGAGAGAGAGAGAGATGAGCAATGACAGACGTAGACAGGAAGAGACGAGCTACGACAGACAGAGGTAGAGAGAAAGTAAGGGGGGGAGAGAGAGAGTAGCAACCACACATAGGTATTTACCTAAATCAAACTAAATGACCAAACAGAATTTTTGTGGGATAGGACAGAGTGGTTGTGCCAAGAATTTTCAGCTCCCTCTAAGTATACTGATGCCCATAAATCAAACATATTTACACGCACATGAGCATATATGTGTGCGTACATATATATATATATATATATATATATATATATATATATATATATAAGAATTCGTGGCACCTATCTGAAATGTAAAATTATATTATGTAGTGGTGACAAGATTTTCGGACTACCCTATACATCTGCGGTTCATCATCCATAGAATTACCCAGTCTAGCTCTGTTTTACAAATGTGTTTATGTCATATCTCATCTGATGTTAGAATTTCATTTCTTTTTCTGTTTTTTTTTAATGTGCATCGTCGGTGTGCAATGGTTTTTACAAACTAATCACGTATATTATTACTATTGCGTGTCAACTCGGCTAAAGTGAATAAATTATGATTCTATAATGATCCAAAAACTTTGACACACATTAAAATAATCGAAGAAGGTGCATCACTGCATTAATCAAATGGCAACATTATAATGAGAAAGTATTTTCCTAGTAAGCAGAAATACTTTTCCATTATAATGTTGCCATTTTTGTGATATTTCTACTCAATCCCCAAACTTGCAGTATTAAATCCTGTTTGGCACAAAAATTAAATATACTTTTCCCATATTAATTTTTATTATACTACTATTCTACTTGCTTCTTTCTTTCTTTCTTTCTTTCTTTTTTCTTTATTAATGAGATAATTTATTTAATTATTTTAGACACCTCTACTGATTTCATTTATCCTCCTTTTTTTTCTTTCTTTTATCTTTCAATCTTACTTATTTTACGTTTCCACGACTAAATTCTAGCTTTCTTTCTTTATATATTTATTCATTTTCAATTCCTCTACACAAATAATTTTTATTTTTATTTTTTTTCTTTCTTTCGGTTTTAATTATTCTAGGTTTCTTCCACTAATTTATTTTTTTCTTTATTAATTTCATTCTTTATTTTCTTTATTCTTTCTTTTTTCTTTCGATTGTTCTCATTCAACCCATCCACTGCTAATGGCTTTCTTTCTTTCTTTCTTCTACTACAAAACTTCTTTTTTTCGTTCTTTCTTTCTTTCTTTTTTACTTACTTACTTTCTTTCTTTTTTACTTTCTTTCTTTCTTTGTCAATTGCTTGCTTTCTTTCTTTCTTTCTTTCTTTCTTTCTTTCTTTCTTTCTTTCTTTCTCCCTAGGTATTTTCATTCTTTTTTTTTTACTTTCTCATTCTACGCTTCCTCTTCTTTCTGTCCATTCTTTCATTTTCTTTTTGCTTTCATTTTCTTTTTGCTTTCATTTGCTTTTACTTATTTTAAGCTTCCTTCACTAATTTAATTCGTTATTTACTTCTTTTTGACTCCTTAAATAATTTAATTAATTTTCTTTCTTTCTTTTTTTCTTTCTTTCTTTTACTACACAAACTTCTTTTTTCTTTATCAATGTATCTCTACATTTCTTTCTCTCTTTCTTTTTGGCCTAATCATTCTATTCTTTCATTTTCTTTTGCGTTTTCTTTTTCTAAGCTTCTTCCAGCAATTTCTTTCTTTCTTTCGTTCTTTCTTTCTTTCTTTTATTCCTCCCACGAACTTATTCGTTCTTTCCTTCTCAATGTCTGTCTTCATTTGTCTGTGTGTGTCTTTGTTTCTTTCGTTCATTCTCTACTATTCCTCCCCAAATTTCTTGTCCTGCTTGAAGTACAAGCTATTCATTTTAATGTTTGAACTGGTTTCTCTTCTCAAGAACTTCAGAATTCGGTAGCATTACACACACGCTTCGATATAATCAGTATAAACTTAAATCCATTCCCCCATATATATCACCTGACAAATCGAAACAAACAAATCAGAGAGACTATGGGTGGACTAGTCAAAGGTTAAAAGGTCGACTTTAATAAAACTAATAGAGACAGACTGTTGAATTCCAAAGCAGAGGAAAGAGAGGAGGAAAGATGGGAGGAAAAAGAGGAGAAAAGAGAGGAGGAAAGAGAGGAGAAATGAGAGGAGGAAAGAGAGGAGAAAAGAGAGGAGGAAAGAGAGAAGAAAAGAAAGAATGAAAACAAGAGTTTACAATGGCTTTCAACTGAGTTGGAAAAAGTATCATGAAATAAAATGAATAAAGAAGTTTTGTTACGAGAGAAAAAATGGTTAGGAGAGGAAAGAAAAAGGGGGAAATAATGAATAATAAAAGAATAAAGTTGAGATAAAGAAATAAAGAAAACAGTAATGAAAGAAAATGTAAATTATGGAAAGAGAAAACACGTGAGAATGAAAAGCGAAGAAAGATAAAAAAAAAGAAAAAAAGTCGTAGTAGTATTGATACTAGTTGTAATAGTAGTAATACTACTATTAGTAATAGTAGCTTAGAATAATAAAAATAAACAAAAGAAAGAAAACAGACAATAAAAGAATGAAATTAGTAGGCCAAAAAGAAAGACATTGAGAAAGAAAAAAAAGAAAGAAGATTGTGTAAAAGGAGTAGAAGAAAGAAAGAAAGAAAGAAAGAAAGAAAGAAAGAAAGAAAGAAAGAAAGAAAGAAAGAAAATGAAGCGTAGGGGGAAATTAGTAGAAGATCTGGAAAGAAAGAAAGAAAGAAAGAAAGAAAAAAGAACGAAAGAAAGAAAGAAAGAAAGAAAGAAAGAAAGAAAGAAAGAAAATGAAGCGTAGGGGGAAATCAGTAGAAGATCTGGAAAGAAAGAAAGAAAGAAAGAAAGAAAGAAAGAAAGAAAGAAAGAAAGAAAGAAAGAAAAAATGAAGCGTAGAAGGAAATTAGTAGAAGAGTTGAAAAGAAAGAAAGAAAGAAAAAATAAAGTAAAATTAGAGTATTACTACTACTACTACTACTACAAGTAGTAGTAGTAGTATTAGTAGTAGAAGAAGCAGAAGAAGGTGATTAGGAGGAGGGGCAGAATCAGAATAAGAATGAATTACATAAAAATAGAATTCATAAGACAAAGTTTAGGAAAAGTAACCGAAAAAGAAAAAAATGAAGAAGAAGAAGAAGAAGAAGAAGAAGAAGAAGAAGAAGAAGAATAGTGTAGTAGAAAAAGAAAAATGTAAAAGAAGACAAGCAGATGGAGTACAAGAAGAAGAAGAAGAAGAAGAAGAAGAAGATGCAGAAGAAGAAGAAGAAGAAGAAGAAGGGAAATAGAAAAAGAAGATGAAAGAAGAAGAAGAAGAAGAAGAAGATGCAGAAGAAGAAGAAGAAGAAGAAGAAGAGGAAGAAATAAAAAAAGAAAAAAGAAAAACAAACTTTGTTGACCGAAGCCTAGATTCGTCACACACGTTGTTTTCGGTGGCTAAGAAGCGAGCTGAGGTTAAAGGTCGAAAGGTTTGCTTCTCAAAATATTGGCCACACAAAATGTCAACAAGTGTAGAATTTTTCGACAATGTTTGTTGATGCAGTCATTCTCTATTGACCTTTTATATCTTTTTCTTTCTCTATGACCGTATATATGCATATTTATTTAGCTATGTATTAGAAACTTGATATTTTTAAGAGCATGTCACTTCACTTTGTATATTGTCATGGCTCTCCACGGATTCCCTTTCTTTATTATCTGCGAATTGATATGACTTCTTATTATTATGGAGTAGTTTGCCACTGTTTTCGCCAGGGTTTTAACTGATGTTGACAGGCCGCCACACACTCTATTTTGCAACTTAGCGTATGTGGGTGGAGAAGAAATGGGTTCCTGTCGTTACCCAAGGAATTTTTGAGCGAAAATGAATGCAACTGACTAGGTCGGAATTTGAACTTACTGCTTCTGCTTTCTGCACTGATAAGCATTTGACTTAAGAAGCTGGGGTATTGTTTAATTGTTAATGTCCGCTGGAATTTTGTCCATTGGGATTTTGTCCTGATGCCGTGTCCTGTTGACACTATCACAATAAAAAAAGAAAAAACAAACAAACAAACAACCGGAAGAAGAAGCTTAACCTTCCAGACTCAGCGATTGTTTTAAAACTGATTGAGGGTATGAAATGGTCTCAAATCTCGAAAAACGGCTTTCCACCAAGAACCCCCCCCCAAAAAAAAAATATACATATCAAACTTTTTTATATCATGGGGATTTTTCTGAGCAAGTCCCATGCGAATATGTGGTATTTTTGTTATTGATGTCTTGGGTGAAGAACGAAGAGTTATGGTGAACGAGTCAGTTATAAGAATGAATGGATCGTGAATCAGATTAGCTAAGTTTACGATTGTCAGTGACGACCACCCTATCGCTATTTCCCTACGATCTTGTGCCGCAAACATGTATTTCATGTTTATATATCTGTCAGGAGGTATTGTAATTATTTACATTATTTACATTGTTTGGACTCTTGTCCTCATCTTTGTTGCCGTGTTCACGACCCATCGGCCGTTGTACGCTCCGGCTTTCTTCAGGTAATTGGAATTTCGAACCAAACTCTATTTCGTCTACCAGGGTAGATTTTTCTAGTTCCACGTGCCAGGCCACTTGCGGATATCTCAGTATCAGTTATCTCCCTTTAACACAACTCTCCAAGTTTTTGCTCACCTCTGCTGTGGACAGAACTCACAACTCTTTGGGTCATGTAACCGGGTTCAACCAACGCTTTTCTCTATTGGGCTATAACTGTTACTGAAAAACCCGGAAGAAGCATGGCACGTGGAAACAGAATAATCTACCGCGGTGGACAAAATAAAAGAATCGGTTCGAAATTCCAATTACCTGAAGAAGTCCGGAGAGTACAACGGCCAAAACGTTGCTGATATAGCAACGAAGATGAGGACAATAGTCCGAACAATGTAATTAGTGTAAATAATTACAATACTTCATCTCAGAAATATAGAGAGATGTTAGTTAATCTGTATTGCAGAGGCATACTTCGACTCGTTTATTTTCCCTCAGTACTTGCCGTGCTAAATAGGTTAAATCTGCAACTATACTGAGCGTCGGCGCAAGCATAAAACGTCGGGATCCGTGGCTGAAGAAATACGCTTCTTACCTCAGTCACGATGACTTGGAACTTCATGCTAGCACAGTCATCGACTTCCAAAAACCATACGTGTATCCAAGTTTGACGATTAAACCGTGGTATGTTTTTCAATAATTCCCAAACGGTGTCGTTTGTTGGGGTCAATTCCCCGCGAGCGAATATTGAAAAGTCAACTTCTGAACAAAATCGACCTTGATGCAATTCCCAACCGGGTCTCGTGGTCGAACATATACCTGGCCACGCATTTATATAATCATTCATTTACGTCAGCATTCATGGCCGGTAGGAAACCGTTCCGCTTTGCGAAACATATATCTGATGCATTCAGTGTATAAACGAATTTGCAAGTTGGAAACATCAATTTCCTGTTTAGATAGCTGTCTATTTAATTATTCATAAGACTGAGACGTTTATCAGAAATTCATTAAGGAATCCTTCTCTGACTCATTCGCCGCAAAAAAAAACAAAAAAAAAACAGTTATAGGACACGAATAAGAGACATTATTTTTTTCTTCTTCAAATCAGTGTCTCCCCGAAGAGGGTATTTTATACAGGGAATATGAAGGGTTGTATCATGATTGGTACATTGAAATTAGTATATTTGTACTTTAAGATCACTTTTTTGGTAATGCTATTCTTGTTGTAGAGTAGTTTTCACAGTGGAGGCTTGTATTTCGCTAAGTCGGTCCTAAAGGGTTCGACGTACAAAACGTTAGGAACTTGCAATAATAATTAATGACACAGCAATCTAGTTGGGGTGGTTGATACTTCAATGTCCGACATCGACTGACTCACTCAACTCCACTGAGCTCAACTACTACTACTACTACTTATTATGTGTGGGAGAGTCTATTACAATAGAATAGGTAATGTTCTGGTATAACAATTCTCTTACTCAATAACAATAATAATAGTACTGAGGTTGCAAATCGTTGGATGTTCAAGCCAATAATGCCCAAAGTATCATTAATTTAACAAACTTTACATTATTTCTTTATTCGGTCGAAATCGGACATTCCATGAACTTATCACCCCAACAATCACAATCCTGCATCAAGGCCGGAACTTCTTCCTTCATAACATAGCTTGTCAATGTAGATGATTGGTGGGCGACCAACCCGTCTTGTGCCTTGGCTAGATGTTCAGAGAAATAGATCATTCTCAACTTCTTGTTTTGCTTGTCAGTGGTGTCCTGCGTTTGTGTAAGATAATAAAATATCAGGGATGGAGCCATAGAGTTGTGGTTTAGTTGAAGGTTGTCTCCAAGAGATGTTAAATATAGTTCTCAGTATCCGAGTGTAGGTTCCATCAAGGTTAGACTGTAGGGTTTTAAATAATGTCCAGGCAGTGGTACTATATATTAACATCGCATCTACACTAGCTCGAAAAATTCTCAAACGGATATTTACATTAAAAAATATCGGAATAACAAATGGTATCTCATCAATTCAGAAGTCAATATTGCTTGTCAGGGGAAATATTCTGGGAAATATGCAGTCTGAGATCGTTTTATTTGATGGTATTATTATTATTATTATTATTATGAAGAAGAAGAAGAAGAAGAAGAAGAAATACAAAAAATTGCACCCATAATTACGCCTCACACATTACGAAGAGATTTATCTATGTAAAATATGTGTGATCTAAGTTTTTTTCAGTGTATAATGTCATGAAGACAGTTCAGGCGGAAGTAAATGTGTATACATCAGAAATCTATGGGAATAATAATAATAATAATAATAATAATAATAAAACACAGTACATCGGCTGAAGCTGCAAAATTCTTAAAAAAAGAAAGCAAAGAAAAATGCAACCGACCAGTTACAGAAACAATAGCAAGATAAACCACTTCATGGCCAATACTCAACCCGAACCAAACAAGCTGACGTAGACAAAACCCGTACCCATCAGTGGCTACATAGTGCAGGGTTGAAAGCGGAAACTGAAGGTTTTATCCTTGCACAGGTCCAATGCTTGTTAACTCGGAATTATCAAGCACATAAACTAAAATATTGTGTCAGCCCAAAATGCAGGTTCTGTGTTAAATATCCAGAAACGATTGATCATCTTGTATCAGGTTGCACGATATTGGCACCCACTGAGTATAAAACCCGGCATGACAGAGTGGGCCAATATATGCACTGGAAAATTTGCAACTTCTACGGGAAGGAAACTGAAAGTAACTAGTATGAACACCACACAGACCCGGTCACGGAGATAGGACCTATTACAATTCTATGGAACTACACAATACACACTGACAGAACAATCAAAGCCAACAGCCCAGATATTGTTATTAAAGACCACAAAAAAAGTACCTCCTTATTGATATGGCAGTCCCTGCTGACTGCAATGTATCTTTGAAGATATTCAAAAAGCTGTCAAAATACAAGGACCCTAAAATAGAAATCTCAAAAATGTGGCACATGGGAACATTAACAATCAGTGTTGTAGTTGGAGCCCTAGGATTGGTTGGAAAAGATTCTAGTAGATTAATCGAAGGGATTCCTGGAAGTCCCTGCCTCAAAGCGATACAAAACATTGTTCTGACAAGTACAGTTAACACTTTACGAAGGGCTTTGTCTATGTATTTTTTTTGTCAGTGGAAAGTGTCCTGATGCCATCTCTAAACTTAGCTCCCTGGGCGGAAAGAAATGTGTAAACGCCAGAAATCAAATAAAAATAATAATAATAATAATAATAATAATGCAATAGAAAATTAATACAATACAAATTGGGGTGCAATACTGTTTCAACATCCTTAATTAGATCGCAGCTGACATTAAGCAAATGGATGTCAAAAAGAGAAAGCTTCTCACTTGCCACCGCATGCATCATCTTAAGGCTGATGTTGATCGTCTGTATGCGCCTTGATCTGAAGGAGGCAGACGATTACTTCAACAAGAAATGAATTACCAAACCACAACAACCGCTTTTCAAAGATATCTGAAAACTACAGAAGACTGGATGATGATATGTGTCAAAGAACATGAAAGAAATAAGAAACTTTATTCAGCAAGAAAGAAAGCCAATAAATTAAAAAAGGGAATTTCAAGTGGATAAAGAAGTATAAATAAACCATAATACACCTATTGCCGTGGCAAACAACCTCAAAATGAAAGCAACAAGGTAACAAATGCAATATTGATGGCAAGATATACCACTTCATGAACAATATTCTGTTACGTACCAAACAAGTTGATGTAGACAAACTCCGTACCCATCAGTGATTACGTAGTGCGGGGTTAAAAGTTGAAATCGTTTTTATTCTTGCTGCACAGGAGCAATGCTTGCTAACTAGAAAATGCTAAATACATATACTGAAGAACTGTGTTAATCCGAAATGCAGATTCTGTGATAAATATCCAGAAACAATTGGCCATCTTGTAACAGGTTGCGTGGTATTGGCACCCACTGATATAAATCCTGGTATGACAGATCGGGCCAATATCTGCATTGTAAAATATAAAACCTTTACTGAAAGGAAGCTACCATAAATTGGTATGAACTTACAGAGATAAGACCTGCAACAACTTAATGTTACTTTACAATACACACAGATTGAACTCTCAAATCTAATCGCCCAGACATCCTGATCAATGACCACAAAACACAGTGTACATAACACTCCATGCAGATTGTAATGTGTCTTTGAAACTACTATCAAAATACAAGAATCTCGAGGTGGAATTTTCATAAATGTGGCATGATCAAAATTCCAGTAGTAGTTGTATCGGATTGATAGATAAACTCATTGAAGGGATTCCTGGCAGACCATGTCTGAAAGAAACACAAACATCAACTCATAAGTCCAGCTCACATATTACGAAGAATTTTATCTATGTAAAATATGTGTGATCTTAGTTTTATTTTTTGCAAAAATGATGAATAGAAAATGTCATGAAGTCATTTCTGAACTTAGGTCTTTTGTTAGGACCCGGAAGAAAATGGGTACGCAACAGAAATCAAAGGAAATATTAATAATAACAATAATAATACTAAACTACCATATACACAAAATATCAAACAATCCAAAATGTAGGCTTTGTGGTGAACATTATATGAATGTGAATCACCTAATCAGTTGTTAGAAATGCTAGGTCAAAAGGAATATTAGAGGCACTGTGTTGAGTTACGCCTTTATGTACATTGGTTATTGTGTCAAAAATATGGATACCAAGCTGCTAAAAATTGGTATGTGCATGTATCTTTCAGAACAACTAAAGAAATTGGAAAGGCCACATTATTCTGGGACTATGATTTTCAGACAGACAGCGTGATACGCCATCGCCTTCCGGATATCATTGAGCAAGATAAACACCTCTCTAGCAAAAAGAATAGCTGCTGTGAACGTATTTAAAAAAAAAAAGCGGTCAGAAAACAATTGTTTTTCTATGTCTACGTCTGAACGTTTCGGACAAAATAAACCTAAGGTTTATAAAACCTCAGATTATTTCAGAAAGGTTTTGAATTATTCATGGCATATCACTACTCAAAACAATACAATAGCTCAACAACAACTAGAAACCTATAAAATATTAACTCAGTACCCTCCTATATTTGGAATTTGTTGGTTTTCCTCTGTCTCCAGTTTAGAGATAACGGACTCTCATCGGCTTGCCTGACTGCTAACGATAATCGACCTCAGCAAATGAGATCGCCCACCACCAGACCCATGATTAGCGACTCTTTTTAAAGCGCTTTCTAGACAGTATACATGAAATTCAAACATATTCTTATAGCTCACACAAATGAAAAATTATCAGCACGCAATTTAAAATAAACGAATTAACACGTTATACCCAGGGAATAAGGTCATATATTAATATCCATAGCAAAGCCACTAAGTTAATACCCTAGAAATAAAACGAAATGATCAGAGATAATGCTTGAAGAAACGTGATAGGAAATGGCCGGGTGGAGTAATGCGCAGCGGTTTGGATTGAGGAATCGGATATCCGAGTTCGTATTCCAGCCGAATTCAACTAAATTCACTTACGTGAAAATACCTTTGAAGAAATATATCCATCTATTATCTCCACCCTCCTGTTATAGAAGTGACAGAACCCAAGGCCTTGGTTGTCGAGGAGAAGGCACATTCTGAATTCAAACCACAGCCTGGAGAGGGTTAGGCACTGTCAGGCCTTCCATACCCATAACTCACTATTGATACTATGGCTGCAGTACATGCAGTGCCGTTTATTAGTTACGGGACTTATGCTCGGAGAGCAATGGTCGTCAAATCTTTTCAACCAGGCACTGCATTTTCCTCCGACCCCCATGTAAAATGTCTTTGACCCTTAAAATTCACACTGATGTTGGCAAATAAAACATTAACTAAGATGTATGAAGAGTTAA